CTTAGGAAGTAAGCCCTCGGGAGAGGCATGGCCAAGCATATGCCATGAAAGTAGCCTGGGCTTCAGAACAGGGAAGAGCTGGGTTCACATCCCACTTCCTCTATGGAGCTCATTATTTATCTTCTTTGGTTTTGAATTTCCTCATTTGTAAAATGATGATAAAACCATTTAGAATAATCTACTTGATAAGGTTATTATAAAGAATTAAAATAGATGATGTGTCTAAAAAGGCTTATTAGCAGGATACCTGATCCATAGAAGTTGCTTCATAAATATCTGTTCCATTTCTCTGAAGGCAAGGAGGATATGGAGGACAGAAGTGGAGTGGGGGCAATGAGGGTCTTCCATCAATCTGTGTGCTTGAAGGTGGAGTTAATGCTACTGGCTCTTCTAAAACTCAAGGGAGAAACTTGCTCTAAAGGTGTCCAGGGAGACATCGGATGTATCAAAATACAGTCCCAAGAGTAATGCACTTGACCGGTGGTTAGGGGTACACACTTCAGACCAACTGACAGACTCTAATACCCATTCTGCTACTTTCTAACTGCATGCCTTTTCTAACTGTGCACCTTTGGGTAAGCTCTTAAACCTCCCTGGCCAGTTTCCCTGTTTGTAAAGCACTAATGACTCCCATCTCCTAGGGGGTGCAAGAGACCCCTGGTTTGCTTGGCCAATCCAGGTCTTTCCTCCTCTGAGACTTGATTCTCTCCTCTCAAGGAAGGGCTCTTGTGGCCGTGCCTTTTCCACCTGAGCACGTTCCCTTGTTTGCCACAGAGGGAGAGACCTGGCGGCACTTGACTTAGGAGGACCCAACCCACTGGCTGGGCTGACAGAATCAGCTTTTCTCTCCCTGGGGGTGAGATGAAGGTCCCGACGAAACAAAGTGCCTAACAGGGAGCCCAGGGTGTAATGAGGATTCAGTGGTTTTTAAACCCAAAGCAAAGGCAACTTCCCGGCATCTACTCTTTAACTTAAAACATTTCAGTCCACAGTAACTATAATGTGGTTAGTTGGTAGAAGCCTAATGGGCACTGCGGGTGGGGGGTAGGGGGGGTTTCCCTCAGGTTTTGGAGCGACAGCTCAAACCAAGACACGTATGACATTGCTGTCTCTATAACCCCTTCATGCCAGAAACATTTCTCAATGAAGCGTGTATTTATTAAACAGGCTTCCCCCCCCCCCCAGAAAAGCCTAACAATTCTCACGCCAGAAATTTTAATGTCATGGTGTGAGCGTAGGTAGATTCAGATGTAGGAGTGCTTATTTTTAACAAGTCCAATTGGGAAACAGCAGAGGTGAGATACCATTTCGAACCACACCTCTTTCTCCTGTGCACCCCCAAGTCGACAGCATTAGCCTCAGCACCAGCTGTTTCCTCACCCTGTTCTCAAAGCGTTCAGCTCATTAAATGCAGCAAAACTTCCTCGGCAAGGATTACATCTCATTTTTCTCATTAAACCAGAAAAGGCACCATGGTAGGGAAAAGACGGGTTTTAGCTCCTGTGATCAAGTATCCAAGAAAGGACATGGTCTCCGTAATAAACAACCAACACACAAAGAAATCCTTTCCTATTTTAGTATTAATCTCAGCTTTCAACCCATATGGTGAAGACAGAATTTTTACCCGTCTATGAACTTTTCATCTTTCACAGTATTTTCTTTTTCCTTTCACCTTCTTACGTCACGAAAATGTTATTTTCTTTTTTCTCCTCAAGGTCATTGACCTCAAGGTCAATTTGATTTGTTTTTCTTTTATCATTTTCATCCTAATTGAATGTTCTCAGTTGAATGTACAAATGATTTTTCTTTTCCATGAGAGAAAATTTGCCTGCCCACCCACCCTCCCTCCTTCTCTTGCTCTCTTTTAAAACAGGAAAGTTTCTGGAATCACGCAGTGGTGTGATTAATGCACTTCAGAGATTACCTAAAGTTTTCACACATGCTGAAAGATTCTGTATGCTTTTGGGGATAGCAAAAAGGACTCAGGGCAAAATACCATTCCTCCAGTGCTATGCACTATGGAGTAGAGTCATATAGATACAGCATGGCAGCCCCTACCAATACTTTTCCTTGATTTACATATATATGTATGTATGTGTGTATGGATGTATAGGTATATGCATAGATGTGTGTGTGTGTGTGTGTGTGTGTGATCTGTAACCAGCAAGGTAAAATCCAGGCTTTTTTTCAAAAGCAGCAACAAGTTCAAATGCATAGCTAGGTATGGGAGAAGACACATAATTAGACAAAATGGATTTAAGAGTTACATAAAGTCTCAACTGAGCCACTGCATAAAAAACTGAATGAAGTGTTGTGATTGCTGGTCTGGTGTCCAGAAGAACAGACTATGTGGACAGTGGCAAATAAGAGGCAGTTACTGAGAGTTATGGAGTATAGCCGGCATTCCATGAAATTTGGACTATAGACTGTTCCACAGTGGGCTGTGCTGAGGAATCGAATGCCCATGGCTACAGGGGGAGCTCTGTTAGAGATGTGCCTAAAAGAAAAGATTTGGTAAATATAATTTTGGAATTACATTTTGAAGAGAAAAAGGGCAGTAGAGAAATTTCCATAGCCTGTAACTTTTCAATAGTCACAAAAATTCTTAGAGAATTGTAAGCACAAGAGGATCTACTATGTGTCACTATTTCCCCTCTACAAGTGGACCTTTCCAGCCAAGGCAGGTATATTCTGGAGAAGATAACAAGCAAAGTCTATAGATACAGGATTTTTCAGTAAGAATACTCAAACCAATGACTAAATATTGACGATAAGCCCCCTCATAGGATTAAGGAGCTGAAACTAAATTACCACTTCTTCCTATTTGCAAATAATCTTATTTGCAAATTTGTCTCAGCCAACTGAATGAAAAGTAGATATTCCTCTCTCTCGACAATCTCCCTGAAATAAATGGGACAAAAAAAGCAATTGTCTGAGAGAGACCCATTTTCTTAAAGAAAACATCCTGGATTAATTGACAAAAGTACCTATTAGTCCCCATGACACCAGTGCTTATGGCATTTGGGGTTTGTCTCTCAGTGTGCAATTTAAATATATATACCTAACATCCTTGCCAATAATAACTTATTGTCTGTTGATACCATTAAAATCTCTCTTAACAGTCTCATGTTGGATTTCATAAACCTTATAAAAAAGGTTCTCAACACTTCAGACTTGCAAGACACTTGCTAAAATGGCAAATACAATGATGAAGAGTCCCCTCCCTCAAATTTATAATCACCTGAGAGAAACAAATATATACAAATAAATAGAAAAATAAACATAGCATGTTGTTGGCAACTTTGCCATGTATTTGGTGGCTGTGCATCAGGATTTGTCTATTTTGATGATAAAATTTTTCTGAAGAAGTATATTCAGCTTGTGTTACCATTTGAAGTATATTTTGCTTGAGTTATTTATTAAAGATTTTATGTATGTATGTATGTATGTATGTATGTATATATGTATTTAGAGACCATGTGTATGCATCTGAGCGGTGGGGAGGGGCAGAGGGCGAGGGAGAGAATCTCCAGCAAACTGAGCGCTGAGCATGGAGCATCATGTGGGGCTTGATCTCAGGACACAGAGACCATGACCTGCGTCAAAATCAAGAGCCGGACGCCTAACTAACTGAGCCACTCAGGCACCCCTGCTTGAGTTACTTAAAAGGGAAAAGTTTTATATCACAGATATGTTTGTGCAAACATTATGACGCTATTATAATGAAGTATTATATAATATTATTAAACTGATGATCAGATAACTTTGGTTCCTGCACCATTATGGACATGGTAGATGGCAGAAACTCCTGATTATAAATTAAATGTAAACCCTCAGTGGCAAAAAAAAAAAAAAAAAAAAGAGAGAGAGAGAAAATCTATGTAATCTGATGAAGACAATCAGCTACCAAATAGAGTCTCACATTTGACAAACCTTTAAATTCTTCTCGAAAGCTACCTATGAATTTATCAAATTACAAATATCCTATTTGGAGAAGACACCTCCCCCCCATTCATTTATACATCAGAAAGCTTTTGGAAGTCGTATGTTCACTAAGGGTGTAGTGACTGAGATAATCTAAGGGGAATGAAAGTTGGCAAGAGAAAAAGAGATATGATTATAATGTGGTTTATTTCTACTTCACGCTTTAAAACTCTTTTTGAGGGGCGCCTGGGTGGCTCAGTCGGTTAAGCGTCTGCCTTCGGCTCAGGTCATGATCCCAGAGTCCTGGGATCGAGCCCCATGTCGGGCTCCCTGCTCGGCAGACAGCCTGCTTCTCCCTCTCCCTCTGCCTACTTGTGCTCTCTCTCTGTCAAATAAATAAATAAAATCTTTAAAAAAAATAAAACTCTTTTTGAGAGAGAAGTGGTCTTACAGATTCTAAAAAAACTTTCAAAAATGCCAGAGAGGGCAGGTGGGTTCAGTATAACTTTCCCTAGGTTAAATGAAAGCTCTTTATCCTCCAGCTGGTAATCCTGATACACTCCGGACACAAACACGGATATTTGCTGTTGTTCAGTAAATGTCCATTGAATTAAGGTACTTTATGCACTTTTCCAGGCCAACAAATCACCAATCTTTCCTTTCTTCCAATGACAGACTACAGAGAAATGTCTTAAATAAAATACATTCATTTGGTCTGATCATAAATAATTTTATGATATTATATCTTAACTCAAGATTAAGACATATAAACAGATAAGGAGAGTAAAAGAAATACTCATTTGAAATAACCCATTTATAATTAAAAGTCATAGCTCATTCTTCGGTATGCTCTTGATTTTAGTTCCTACCAAGATGAGTCATGTTAGAAACAGGTGAATACTTTATCTTATGTTAGGACCAAAGAGTTGTTAGTTTTGAACTGATTAAAACTTTCTTCCAAACTCGAGTATTTATGAACAGAACTTCTGGTTTGTAAAAATAAATCAATGTTGATCTTGTCAGAGGGACGAGGAATAAGAACAAAAACACATACAAATAAGAAAGCAGAAACTTACTGTATCACGTTGCCTGTTATCTTTCCCTGATATTATCAAGAAGTAGTTCCATGTCAACAGTAACAACAAAACCAGTGGTATCATGTAGAGCTCAAAGTTCCAGACAACAAAGAGAAAGAGCTAGAGGAGAAGGAGAGAGAAAAAGATGAGTCAACTCTGACTTTCATTAAATGGACTCTCTTATCCATAGCCCACTTCAAAAACGCAAAACTAAATGCTTCAGAATGGAAAGATTTATCTTGAAAACAAAACCTTGAGAACTTGTTAGGCATTTTTCTAAAAGCACAACTGACCCCTGGAAAGTTACTGTTAGGATTTTTAATTTAATTTCTATGAAGGAAAACTGGTATCATCACACTATCAACAGGGTAATTTTAATTTTTCTCATCTAGTGAAATTATGGTCAGGTTGGACAAAATAGAGTTAAAAAAAAAAAAAGGCTGCCAAATGAGCTTCACTACATTGTCAGACATAGCTGGTCTATCTGCCTTAATGATAAAGAATGAATCACTGTTTAATATCACGGACTTTTTTTTTTTTTTGAATCTCACAATGCAACACGCATAATAGGCAGATGAAAACACCAAGTCTGCACCAGTGAGCCAAAGATCTCACATTATGAATAAAAGCACTGCTACCAGTAAGTGTAAAAATAGGGTGGCTTAACATTTAGCATTACCATAGAAATCAAACAGCTATTTAAAAAACAGAATAACTTTGTCAAAGGAAATTTTTAAATGTCTTTGTCTACTATCTTTGAAAACTACCGACTCTCCAGGTAAATTATTTTTTAATTGTAAGACAAATATTAGAGTAAGAGCTCACTTAGCCTGGCAGGAGGACCCATTCTAAGATCATCTGCACTGTAAAATCAGCAGCGCTGTGTACAAAGTGTGACTTGCCCTCGCACCCATCCCCACTCTTATAATCCTGAAGAGATCATCTAAACTCTCTGAGTCTGTGGCTCCAGCTGCCAAACAAGGCAACATTAAGTCAAATGATTTTGTGGAGGTACCGAAGAGCTGGATTCCATCCCTAATGCTGACTAGTCCCATCACTTCTGGCACCATCTTGCCTTCAGTTTCTGCCTCTGTAAAATGGGGCTGAGAAGCGTATCCATCTGACAGACTGTGAGAACTAAAGAGTTGAAATGTGTTAGGAAGTTAACACACTGCGTGGTACCCAATAAGTGCTCAGAAAACATTTGTATTGTTGTGTACATGTTTATCGATACCTTATGAAATTCAGAAAGTTAACTAATATTGACTAGGGTCCTCAGGTGATGCTTATTCCATTACTGAAAACTGGAAGTCATCTGCCTCCTGAGATTTAGCTGAACCATAGTGTAAGTGGGAATTTGAGCCAGCTGGTTGGGGTAACACAGATATCAGGCGTTTGACAGGCCAGAGGGTCAGGAGCAGCGCCCTGAGAACACTCATGTCAGGCAGGGCAGCACAGACTGTTTAGCCAAGCCTATACAGCCTAGTAAGATGGTGAAGAAAATCAGCCTGTGTGGAGGGGTAGAGAAACCCATGGCTTAAGGACCAGAAGACAGATTCCAGGCCTTAGAAAGTCACTCTGCCCCCGTGTTTTCATTTCTAAATACACGGGTCTATAGACCCAATAACCTTTAATATCCCTTCTATTTAAAATGACTTCATGGCATTACTGTGACATCTGTTTTTTTTTTTTTAATGTGACATTAAATCCTGAATTCTTGGGATATTCATAACCCAGATGGACACCCACAAATAATGATTTAGTAACCCAAGAAATGACTTTTGGACAGAATTACATGGAAACTATAGATTCAAATTCCTGAATAAGAAAAATCTCAAATGTATCAATGCATGAGACATGAGCCTCATCTTTACTTTCATAAGTAGAAGGATTTCCAGAAAAATAAAATATTTCTATTTAATTTTTGAAATTTATGCAATATATATAAAGATGATACAAATTATAATTGATGGTTATGATTATTCTATTTAAATATATTTTTAAAAGATAATTCTTTATTTAGGAAATTAATTAAGGCAAATCTGACAGACACGAACATATGTAAAAGGGAAAATTATTTTTGGCTAGAATCCATATTAATTCTTTACCCATTTATTTGTAAAATTTAGGCAGTTACTAGAATATAAGCTCTTTAAGGATAAGGACTTTTTCTTTTTGTTCTTATTCTATCCCCAGAGCCCAGAAGAGTGTTTAGGAATAGAAGGTGTTCAATAAATATATATTTGCTGCATTAATGAATAAATGGGTACTGGGTTCTTTTAACATAAATCTACTTAATTATTGTTTCAGTAAAAGTACGATATAGCCACTATGTAACATCAAGTAAATTCATGAAAATATATTCAGAATTACAACCTGGGATGCCACTAACCAATTTCTCCCTGAGGCATAGAAAGATTCTCTTTCCATTCTGGCCATGCAGTCATAAACTGTCTCGTGTATTATGGTCTGACTACCATCTTTCCTTTTGGACCTTCCTCTATGTTTGCCTCTTCTGAGGACGTTCACTTGACTTGATGTGTTCTGGCCTCATGGATGGGACTCAGATGATTCCACAGCTAAATGTCACCAATTGTATTTATTTTAAATTTATTAAGCACAGACATTCCATCCTGTAATGTCCACTCACTGGTGTTAGAGTTCTGATGTCACCCAGAATAAAGTTACTAGGAATGTCTATGTGTTAGTGTTAGTTGGAGGACAGGTATTGCACAGAATACACTTTCTAGGTGATAACCAAGTAATCAAGACACCTATCATGCCTTTCTCTTCTCTAGATACAACATCACCAGTTGCTTAAAGCACCACTCCACAAGGCATGATTTCTGGGCACGTCTCCATTGTGGACATCATCCTCTCACCACATCCAAATCCATAAAAAAGCAATAGCTTTCTTAAAATACAGCACTCAGAACTGACACACCATGTCTAATTAATACCTGTGGTATTTATATGCCCTAACAACACAAGCACCAGAACATAAGACGGGGAAAGATACAGAAGAGACCAAAAAAAAAAAAAAAAAAAGGGTAGAATTGCATGAGTTTCATGGATCTTGGTAATGGAAAAATAATCTTCCCTATTTTGTTTTCTTTAAGAATCTAATATTTAGGGGCACCTGGGTGGCTCAGTCGTTAAGCGTCTGCCTTCGGCTCAGGTCATGATCCCAGGGTCCTGGGATCGAGCCCCATATCGGG